GATAAATATATAATATACAGTAGTCACTGGTGTTCGTGATCGAACTGGTGTAAGACCTAATAGACGTGATGTTGTTGGAGTTCTTCCTGGTGTATTCAATGGCATTGCTATAGATGGTACTTGTTGATGAGCTTCATCAAACTTTTGTCGAATAGGTACGTTATCATACATAAATAATGGATCGTTATGTTCAGATAAAATATTTAAAAATTCTTGTTCAATAATTGGTAAATCTCGATGATATTTTTTACGTTGACGTCCTTCAATTTCAGCATTATAACCACGTATATGAAAACGTCCTGGATTAGTTGATGCTTTCTATAATAGTACAGTAAAGAAAAAAATAAAACCTAAATAAATAAATAAAACAAACTGTAAATGCAACAAATTCATTCCAAAATGAAAACCATTTATTATAAGCATCAAGAACTGGTTGACGTTTTTTATAAACTTGTGTAATACGTTCGAATTCAGTATCATATGCATCAAGTAAATCTGATGATATATTTTCTATTAGAATAAAAGTTAAAACAAAACCAAAATATATAACAAAAAAGAAAAACACGATTTTGTTTACCAAAATCAAGTTTATCAATAACCACACGTTCATCATTGCCTAAATGTGCTTTTTCTAGTAAATCAATAATTTGTTGATGAATTGAATGACAATATTCTTTTCCATTTCTCATTCGTTCTTCTCGACAACAAGCGATTTCATGTTCAAGCTAAATCAAAAAAATATTTCTCCCATCTTTAAGTATCACATTTTTAATTATAAACTACTCAATATTCGATTATAAAAATAAGAGTCACTAAATTCTAACATGTATCTTTTATTATTCTTTTTAATTAATTAAATTTTATTTTTACAACCTCTTTTCGACAGAAGTAATTCAACCAAACATATACTTACCTATTGGTTTCTTCTATAGTGTTATTTAATGGAAAATGTATTTATTGTTTAATTAGACAGTTTGAAAAAAAAATTTATTAATCAATTTCGAAATATGAAACATCACATTGTTAGTGTTATTTTTCTACATTGTTTCAAACATCGATATAAATATTTAACGCTCATATATAAATCAACTCCTTTTTGCAATAGACGACTTCAGATCTTATGTTTCATTGATTTTTACAATTTTTTATTAAAAGAATTTCTCAAAAAAACATAACCAATTTGAAAAATGTGACAAGAAAAATTCTAGAAGCTTAAAAATCAAGAAATTATATTCACTTCAGTCTTTCAAGATTTTTCAGTTTAAAATTATTAAAACTAAGTATATTCTGAAGTAAATATACTTTTATCGGATTATAAAAATAAGACATTTGGCTTCATTTCGAATACCTATGCAAGATGAATAGATATCGAGAAACGTTTTCGCCTACTTGGAGTAAAGTCCGAGGGGTGGGATTGTCGAACACTAATACAAACAATTTGTTCGATCTGATTTTTAGAGAGCTGCCAACAAGATCTGTAGAAAATCATAATGTTTTTTTTTCAAATATAAATTCAATGTTGTTCATATAAAATTAATATTATCGAGATTTGAAAAGATCTGAAATACTTTTTATTCATTTGAAATTATTTTCTTACTTGTTTAATAACAAATTCATTGATATGTTCACTTCCAGTTTTAAATGCTAAACAATAATCTTTATGTGAATCTTTTTTTAAACATTGATAAAGATGATGAAGTTGATTATATAATTTAAAAAAACGAGTTTTTTGAATTTCAATTTGATTTTCCAACTAAATAATATTTTAAATAGAAAATATTCAATGAAATTAGAAAAATAAAACAAAAATAAGATTAACTTGATGTATTGTTGATTCAATTTCATTAAGACAATCAACAGTAAGACAACGATCAAATTGTTCAAGAAGAAGATATTGAACAGTTGATTTAGATGAAGATGGTGTCCATTCTAATTGTTCAGAATATTCTTTTAATTTTAAATAATATGATGATACTTGAGTTAAACGTAGATCCTAACAAAAAAAAAAACAGTTCATTTTAGAAAGAAAAACAAATATAAGATTTTGTAACTTTTAATTCACTAAGCATTTTGATATGATCTTGCATTTTTTTATTGATTTCTACGAGCGAAATTGAAAGATCTGAAAGAAAATTTTTATAATCAAATCAAAAATAATAGATAACAAACTTTGATCGAATTCAATGGATGTAGTATTAAGTAATGTACATAAATATTTTTCTTTATTTTCAAGTTCATTTCGTTGATGAATTAATTGTCCTTCATTAATTAATAATTCTTGCATTTTTCTATCAATATATATTTCTTGTTCTTTTAATTTTAATCCATCAAATATTGATATCTAAATTCATAAAACATTAAATCAAATAAGAAAAAAGAAAAATAATATTTTATTTTTACTTCTATAGAAGATGAAAGTCCAGTACGTTCAAGTAAATCTTCATAATCATCGAGTAATTGTTTTATTAATTGTCGACGTTTTATTAATTGTTCTTGATACACAATCATTTTATTATCAAGTAATTTCTATAATAAAAATATATATCATCAAAAAATTGAAATTAAACATTACTTGAGTATATTCTTCCACTTTTGCAACACGTGATAACCATTGATGTTCATTAAAACCTAATGAAGACCATAAACAATACCAATTAGAACATGTTGTTGCACGATCAAGTACAAAAGAATCTTTATTATCCATTAATGAAAGACTTTTACTAAATATAAAACAGTATGAAAAATAATCACCATCGAAGATAATAAAACAATATACAATTGAATTTGTAATGCTTGAAAAACTGATTTCTTCTTTGGTTGAAGCATTATGATTTAGAATTATTAAACAAGTGAGTAAGTAAATGATAGTTATTAGCGGATCTTTGTTTTAAATAACCAACGATATCACTATACAAGGAGAATTTATTACAAGTACTGACATCTATGAAACTCAAGGATCATAAAAGTAGTTATCAATCTAAAATAGTCGCTAAATATGAACGCGTTGAAATCGATCGATGACATCGTTTTCTTTATAGAAAACTAAAGTGACTTTGTTTTAAAGCTCATGTTGCAATAATTTGGTTATGTTCACTAGTGAATGAACTGAGTTTGGAGTACCCTACTACTAGTATGTCATATGAACCTTTGGATATCTCGGTAACTTTGAATACTTTATGAGGTTTTAATATTTGACTGCAAAATGTTTTTAAATGTTGAATCTGTTAATTTGTTTAAAGAATTTTTCATATAATAGTATAGAAATTAGGCAGGTATCAGGTAATTATCCACGTACTGAGATAATTATCAGCAGGGTATCCAAACAAGATCCTATGTCATACTGCTAACAGGATGCTTGAAAAGGTACTTTGATATCGAGTGATCCAATACATGAGTATTTTGAACTTATCTGCGTTAGTATATAATTGAATGCTCTTTTTGAATAGGGTTTTAGATGATCATTGAAGTTTTGTCTTGAGCTTAATGAAATTATACAACACTATTATTTGGTATACTATGTATCTTTTGGATACTTTTCAGTCCTATACTATATGTTCAAAGTAAATTTATGATAGATGAGAAAAAAAAAAACGTTCGACTTGGATTTATTTAGTTTGATTTCCTAGAACAATATATTGAGTTGTTTTGTAAAAACTCGGTAATAATTTGCTGACCTTAACATCCGAATGATTACGCGAGAGATATTTTCGATAGTTGCCGATGATATATTTATATTGACGTTAACAAGTAACAGATTCTACCTCTACGTACGTAGTCGTTGAAAATTTACATGTATCATCCTGAATTAGCTCTCGAAAAGTAATGTATAACTCAAAATCTATCAGTTCTTATCAATTAACTATTTTAATAGTTTGTTGGTTTATTTGGTCTACACTAATAGTTTCTCTGAAGTATAGACCTACTTCACTTATACTTTGTGCCTTTATTTCAGCATGACAAATACTTGTCGTGAAATTTGGCTGTAGAAGACAATGCTTTTCATGTGAATATAATTTTTCTTGAAATAAATTCTAATATAAATTTTTTCATTACGAGTATATTTCGTTGAATTTATATCCTTTATCGATAAACAAAAATCTTAGAATTTCAATTAACTGTATATGTTTTTTTGATATTGAAATTTATGCATTTGCAATAAAAATCTTCTTGCTACTATCTTCTCAGTTAAGATTCCTTTATGAAAAAGTTTACAAGATATAATGATGTTCTCTTTTACTATGTGTTTGTTTTTTTTTTTCGTATAATAGTTAATATTAGAAGAAATTTATCATTCTCTTTCATTAAATATCACAATGTAGTGTTTGTATTTTTTTTTCTGCTTCATTTGTTTTTCTCTTAACCTAATCATAGATTATTTTTTATAGGTAGCTCGTTCGTTATGCACGAAAAGCGAAAGAAAAAAAAATAAGTACCTTGTTTACAGTCGTCATTTGTTAAAATATAGTGTGGTAAATTTTTCTTTTGCGTATGATAACGAATATACATTTCATAAAAACGACAGCGAAACAACCCAGTCAACGTGTAAGCACAAGTGTCACTTAATTTATGTTGAAGAAGAATTATCGTTCAGTTCGCTTGTCTTGATATTGTAAACTCTATTTTGTGTCGAGCTAAAGAAAAAGCATATGATCATATAAGTACAGTGAATACTATTTCCCTTGATGTATTACTTGTGAATTACGTCATATTGTAATAAAATTCACGATAAAAAGCATTTGTAATTCTTCATTGTTTACTAAAACTAAAGTAGATGTACTAAAAAAAATCTAATAATTTATCTTAATATTTTCCCTACAGATACCTGAAATATTAACAAATATAAATTAAGACTTTTAATAGCTACATAAAAACTAAATATGTAATTTCGTATTGATGCATAAAAAATTTAAAATCATTGCATAATGTGACTCACTCATGTTTTTATCGATAATGAATTTAAAAATTATTTATTGATCTTTTCATACATTTCTATTTTAGAAATGGCTACACGATCCAAAAGACATTCTGCATGCAATTTTAAAACAGGTCAGATATAAAAATTGTCACTTGGAAAGAATAATCTTTCATATTCATCTGTGTGTCTTTAGACAAATCATGGCTCGATCTTAAAATTGATCTGAATGGAAAAATTGTAATGCCTCAAGAACTCGAAAAAGATATGGCAGAGCCTCTGGAAAGTGTTGATAGTAAAATATTAGATCGTGTTCATGGTTCGATGATTGGAATGGCTTTAGGCGATGCCCTAGGTGCTCATGTCGAATTTCGATCTAATCAATATCTGCGTAAAAATCCAGTAACGGATCTTAAGGGGGGTGGTACATGGGGCCTCAATAAAGGAGAGGTATCTTTCATTCACATGAATATCGTGACTGTGTTTTAGTTAGCAACTGTTAAAGTTGAGATGAGTTTGAAGAATCAGTTCCACAGCTACAAATCTCAATATGATTACATCTAAATTTCTTGTTACCAATGTATTCACTCAATGGAATCAATTCTTAGATTGAAAAAGACTTCTATGTCCATTTTTTTTCTAATTCTATAGTTAAATGAATAAATTTCTCCTGTTACATCTTTTCTATATTTTGAGAGGAGTAGAATATGAGATCGTATAGCTGTCTAGAGAAATAAGTCTTATCTCTGTGTTTTGTAAATAATATTCATAAGTAGAGTCATTCTCATATTCGTATTTTCATAGTGTTCGAGATGTATATACTTTAGTTCACTGACGATACCTCGATGGCTCTTTGTCTTGCAAATTCAATGGTAGTTCGACGTGACTATGTTCCTTACGATCAATTGGTTCGTTACAAGTGGTGGCATGTACATGGTTACATGTCCTCTGTAGGTCACTGCTTTGATATTGGCAAGGCCACGAAACAGGCTTTGATGAAATTTGAAGCCCGCCAAAAGGCATTTGCGAAAGAACACAATATTCCTTTCAAGGATTTGGATTATCTTTCAGATTCTGAACTTTTGAATAAGTTCGATGTGAAGTGCAGTGAAGAAGGTGTAGCTGGAAATGGAGCACTAATGCGACTCGCTCCTGTGCCACTGTTCTTTTATCAAAATCCTACTAAAGCTATCGAGTATTCGGGACATAGTGGGCTTATTACTCATGGCGATTGCAAAGCCTATGATGCTTGTCGCTACTATGGTGCTCTGATTGTCAGTGCTCTTCGTGGTGAAACTAAAAAAGATCTACTTGACGAAAACTTTTACTCAAAACACGAGAAATGGTTTAATAATAAACCCCTCGACCCGGCTATTCTAGAAGTTGTAAATGGATCTTATAAGAAAGATGGATATAAAAAAGGCATTCGAGGTCGTGGTTACATTGTAGATACTCTTCAAGCTGCTCTATGGGCATTTTGGTCCGATCATGACAGTTTTGAAGAAGGTGTTCTTGCTGTTGTGAATCTGGGTGATGATACTGATACAACAGCAGCCATTTATGGGCAATTAGCTGGTGCCTACTACGGTTATAATAAGTTACCTAAAAGGTGGACAGACGAAATGTATGCCAAAGCATTTATTTTAAATTTGAGCAAATGGATCGTTTATGAAGGATCGAAATGGGAATCAGAAGAGCGGACCACGTCACCTACATCTGCTTCGATTGCCAAATTATCGTCGGACGATAGGAATCAGTTGACTTTTCCACAGACGAGAAGTTCAAGTGCGCAACCACCACCAAGAAGAAATCGACAGTATGAAACGAATGCGCCAACAGAAAAACAAGATGCAGAACCAGATTCACCTTCAAAGTTTGAACAATTGAATAGTCTTAGTGTAGATTATAGACCACAACAAAATAATTTTCTCAATCCAAATTTACCTGTGAGATCCGCTTCTCATAGACGATCTACATCGTCTAACCCCAAACCATTACAAGATGACGATCTTACATCATCACCTACACGTAAGAGCTCTAAATTTTTTACTAACAATAGCGAATGAGCATTTGAAGGGAAGATATTGCATGACATGGTTTTAAATTGCTTTTCTGAGTAATAATCTTGAAATTTTTTATATTATTGTCTATCTTTCATAGAGATTTATAATCACGAAAAGTATAAGTCTTGCCAAGATGTCTGTCAGTGGATCGAAACTTTGGGCAAGGAGTATGGAAAATATGCGAAATACTTTCAGAAGTACGAAGTTGATGGGTATTGGCTTTTGAATCAAGTTGATGATAAAAAACTGGCAGAATACGGCATAAAACGTTCAACCCATCGGCAAGTCATCATGAATGGCATTGAACAATTAAAGAAAGAGTGCCCAATGAACCTCTCAAGAAAGTAAAAATAAGAAACTCTTTTATATTTGTTTTTTTAATACAAATATTGATATCTAATATATGACACAGTAAAGTGCTAATGATTTATATACATACAATGGATTCCAAAGTTTAATTCACGATGCATTAGAATTTACTTTTGTAAGATATTAAAATTTAAAAAAATCAACTTGTATATTGCTTTCTCCTTCAGTTATATCTAACAGTTCTATAATTTTGAAAAGTCTAACTTCGTAACAAATTATACAAGAATCAATAACGATCACAACCGATGGTTCTACAGATATATAGTTTTTCTATGCGCATAAAGGCTTAGCTTTTTTTCAATTAGTTTTTCTCTGATTTGCTCGTACTAGTCTTTCTTCATGAATATCATATAAAATATATAGATGGATTTGGTTTATCATCATGCAAAATCAATAACACTAGAATTATACTTGTTCATAATAGTACCAGATAACTAAGAATTTCTTTGATAGTTTTTGAAATTGATCTCAGATAAATTACGACGAATGTTTTTTTCCGAAGAACTAACCCATATAATTTCTTTTCTCTTCACTCAAAATCGATTTTTTTCTTTTTTAATACTACTTCAGAATCTTTAAATATATTAATTCAATTTTCAATGATGTCATATGGAGAAAGTAGTTTTTTTCAATGACATATCGTTGACGAACACTGTTACTCAGTATTAAAATGAAGAGTTTTTATCTCTCTCTAAAAGAAATTACCGAGTTATACAAGATGTAATTGAAATTCCAACGATACAACCGTTTTTCTACAAACTCTATTAGGGGTATCAATATATTTTATATTTGACCAAAAAATTTTCTGAAGTTCCCTATGTAGTAGTAAGAAATACTAATATTTATGATTAAAAGGCCATAAAGTCAAAATTTTCTTATTTTGAAACACAAAAATGATTATTTTAAAGAAAATTCACAAAAATTAATTAAAACTCGAAAATTATTATCATTAAACATTTCATTAGTATTTTTAAAAAATGATCATGGAAAAACTCATCAGATCGAGCTGAAAATTTCAAAGATTACTAAACTCATCACCATCTACAACATATTTTAAAACTTCAGAAAATGCTGAGATATCACTCCATCGTCGATGTACTTAAGTGCTTGATTTTGTCAGACACTTATGCTTAAATACGAGTTTTTCATCGATTCAATATGATTAATATGTCTTTTTGTTTTTTCTTTGGAGTTTGATTTGATAGATATGATTCATAAGATGTTTTGCCCAAAGTAACAGAACATCTAATTGTAAAATTTCATCATGATCATGGTTATTCTTCAACTTTTGTTCTTGCATATCGCTACTCAATGCACACTACATTTGCCATTGCACAAAATCAAATCAATTCATGTGCATTTCTTATTATCAATACTATCGTTTATTTATTGAAAGTAGTGTAGTCTCTATTCAGAATACATAATCATTATAATTAGTCATGCTCATTTGTTTTTATCTGCTGTTGTTTATTATATACTTAAAGTCGAATGTTAAATTGTATCACAACTACGCAAGAAATTTTTAAAAAACCGAGTTTTTACAAGTAGAAAACAAACACAGCACTAAACTGAATAGAAAGAAAAGCAGAACTAATACTGGAATTATGATCAATTCAATACAAAAGACAAAATTAATCCATGTTTTGTCAATACCACCCATTTCAATATCTAAAATAAATTCATAAAATCTTTCACAAAAGAAAGCAATAGAAAATATAAACCATATAGATTAATTTATTCCTTAGTATCAGATGTTGTTGATAATAATACCACATCATTTTTTAATGAATCATGTACATTCGTTGGTGTTTTGGAAGGCGTTAGAACATCTGAAGTAACAGCTTTATCTTTTTCGGAAGTTGATGCAACTAAACAAAATATAATTAGATATTTAAAAAAGTAGAAACTATATACCTATAGCAGGACCTGATGCACCATCTTCAATTGAAGCGATGGAAGAATCATTTACTGAAGATTTTGTTAGATTTTTAATCTTTGCTTGTAGCTCTGATCGTTCTTGTTGTAAAGTCCGACATAATCTATCAAGTTTATCAAGTTTAATATCTAATTGTCGTTTTTCTTTTTCCATTAATTTCATCTTAAATAAATTAAAATTGTTTCAAAGAAAGATTTTTTTTTTTGAATTTCATACATCTTCATTCGATTTTCGTTGATTTTGTTCAGCTATATCCCATTGATGACGAAAATCGTTTCGCTCTTGTTCTAGAGTTTTAATTTTTTTTCCCATTCTTTCGATTTCTGTTTGACACGATGTTACCATTTGACTACTTTGTTGAATAGCATCTTGAAATTCTTGATAACGTTCAGTATAAACTTTCAATTGAGTACGGAGAGTTAATTCAGACGTAGCTAGTTCTTCACACTTTTTGTATAGAACTAATTGTTCAGTTTCGCTCTTTGATTCAACAAAAGCAAAAAAAAAATTATTTTTCAATAAAAAAAAATTCAAATCATACCACTTGTCGTTCTTGTTTAATTAATTCTGTTCGTTCATTAAGTACTGCATAACTTTTTTCTAAACTAACTTCAGCTAAACGTAATTCAAGTTCTTTTTTCTTTAATGCCGCTTCGAATTCCTGAAAAGGTTCTTGGAACAATAAGAATTCAAAAAACAAAATTCGAAATTTACTGCTTCTCGTAATTCAAAGTCTTTAGCAACTGATGCTAATTGTTCTGATAATTGAAGATTTCGTTCACGTAACGATGTAGATTGTGCACTATAATTTGATAATTGTGATGTAATTTCATCAATTGTTGTCTAAGAAAATTAAAGCGCTTTGAAAAAGATAAAAATCAACGAATAAATACTTGAAATTTTTTAGCTAATTCTTGGCGTTTTGTTTCATCATCTTGTTGCCGTTGAGTACATTCATCCTTGAGAAAGAAAGCTTAACTAAAGAACACAAGAATCTATTGATCGTAATTGCTTACTCGAATTTGTTGATTATGTCGATGAAGCTCTCGACAAAGACTCTCTAATTTCGATTTAGCAGCGAATGTACGACTATTTTCAAGTAATATTTGATCTCGTTCACGAATTAAAAGAGTTGATCGTTTTTCTAAGTCATTTATTTTCGTTTGTGTCAAACGATTTTGTTCTTGTAATTCAACTAATTTTGTTGCTAATGTTAATAAATTTTTTTGTGGATCTTGATCAGTTAGCATTGCCATTAAATCGTCTACAGAAAAACATGAATAATAAAAAGTGAATTAGTTAATTTAAACATACTTGCTACTTCATTTATATTTCGATGTGGTTCTGATTCATTATTCGTGTTTGACGAAGCTCTATCATCCTTGTCTGTTATTGATGAAATTTTATCATTTGTTTGTTTATTTTCTTTAGAATCAGCCGCTAGAATAAAAAAAGTTTAAATTGAAAAAAAATGTTTTATTACATAATATACCAAATTTTTCTAATTTTTCAATAAGTTTAGCACCAATTGCTGTTTTTCCATGTGTTCGATTTGTGGTTGTTGATGCAGATTCATCAATATTTGTATCTTCATTGGTAGTTGAAAGATTGGTGAAATCGATTATTTGTGTAGCTTTTTCGTCAGGTGACATGTGATTTGAATCCAATGAAGCAGTTTCATTTAATTCTGACTTGATATTTGAAGTCATTTGAAAATAAAAAATATCTCAAATCAATATAGATAATTGCACAACAGATATTACTCAAAATACAACTCAAAAAAGAAGAGAATAACAAAAGTCATGGTTACATTTATCTTTTTTAATTCTCTTTGATATTTATACGTTGTCGAATATCCAGTCAGTTATTGATTAAATGAAATCGATTGGAAAATTTTGTTTGTTTAAAAAAAATAAGTAAAGAATCTGTTAATGTTAAACAATCGGTATTTTATTGATTTTAATTATGAAGCTTTTCGTTGTTGGTGCTATATATTATTACATCGTACGAAGCTATACGTAGCATGTGATTGAGCGACCTCTGTTGTAAAAGTTTACACCAAACGTAAATCATGTTATAAGAAAAACGTCTAGAATAGATTCTTACATGAAGTAAAACTTTTTTGTTAGACATTGAGTTGATAAATATTTTGTTAAGAATATTAAAATTTGAGTTCCGTTCATCAAAGAAGTTTTTAACTTGATTTCTAGCTACGAATATAGATCATGTTTTGAGAATAATGTTTACACAAGGAAACTATTCGATATAGTAGAAACAATAATTTGTATTTGACTATTTATTGAATTGTTCTTAAAAGATGAAATAATTATCAACAGATTGTCAATAAAAGTTTGGGAAGATTGACATGTCACAGAAGGTAATTCATTTCTATTCGACTCTTTCTTGAAGAATGGCCAGTGAGCATCCTAGAACATACGAAATCCCAACTCTCCGTGAAATCTTTAAGGTTCCCTGATTTTCAGGTAGCATGATTAAAGATAAAAATTTTTGAGGAGTCTTGAAGGACTCCTTAGAAGATTTATTGAAGTGCACATAACTTGTATATTTTGGATCCAGTAGTAAATTGAAATAAGTATCCATTTAAAAATTGAATTGTAATCTTTTTATTTAAATTAATCTTAATAGTATCTTCAACAGTAAGCATAAATTTCAAAAAATATTATGTTTTTTGTCTATC